AAAATATAGCATACAGAGTAATAAAAGAAATTTTAGCTATCATCATCATCATCATCATTTCTTATATGTCTGCAGTAAACCATGCCAAGCTTTATTTTCAAATTGCCTCTGAAGGGTGGTCTAGACCTTTTAAGTACACTCCTCTTTTCACCTCTGAGACTATATACTGTCCTTTTCTATAGCTAACCTCCCCGGCTGACTAGCCCAGAAGTTAGAAAAGCAAAGAAGCTCTTTATCACCCTCCCCCAACAGTGTTCCATACCCAAGTGTTGAGTGACCACTCTCATGTCATTTGGGCATCCATTAACATCCATTAACCAACGACCAAAGCAAAACCTAAGGGAATATCAGAGTAGATGCAAAAAGAAATTAAGATGATCTGGAGATGGTCCTGGCACAGACAGGTAGTGACCACCAGTAAACAAATTCAGAGGCTCCTTACACTACAAAGAAACCTGTAATAAAGATTTTATTATCACATGTAGTAATCATAATGACCCTAAGAAGTATGATTACACCCATTCTACAGGGGAGGAAAACTGATGTTATAGAGGGTAAGTGACTTGTCCATAGATATGACAGCTCTTTGTCCAGATTTCCCAATTTGAATCCAGCCCACGGCTGGGGCTCAGCAGTAGAGTATCTGCCTGGGATGCATGAGGTCTGAGGTTTGATCCCTAGCACCCCCTCCCTGACAACACCCCCCCAAAAAACCAAATTTCTGTCTCTGACCTCAAATTTCTCTCTCTGACTTAAATGTCCAACTGGTGATTTGCTGTCTTAGTCCTTTTTCTGTTGTGATAACTGAGTACCTGAAACTAGGTAATATATAAGGAAAAGAATGTTTCTTAAAGATCTGTAACCTTTTCAGTTCTTCTTGCAGCATCGTAACATGGCAGAAGGCATCATATGCTGAGACAGAGCAAGTGTGCCATGGAAAATTAGATTTTCTAACAAAACCACTCCCTCAATAATCAATTAATCTATGAATGGATTAATATGCTCATGAAGGCAGAGTCCTGATGATCCGCCCCCAAGGTCCTACCCTCCAAATATCATTAATATATGAACTTGACTATTTAGTTTCTAACACATGAAATATAGCAGAGCACAATTGTACCACAATTTTACCACAATACTTGCCATCACCATCTAATTTATAATAGGAATCTCAAATATAACAAAATCCAAAGAAAACTATAGGTTTTCCTGGCTAAATGTCCATCTCCCTTTCAGTCTGCTACTTCACCTCAGTAAATGGTATCATCTACCCAGTTCAAACACCAAATCTTTCTCCTTCGCACACCAGACTCCTAATCCATGCTCTACCTCTAAACTCCAGCTCTACCTCTTAATTTAGCTTAATTTGGCTTAATTTAGCCAAAGCCTAAATTAAGGTACCATGCTCATTCCCCTTAGACTACAGTAACTGCAGATTGCAGGATTCAAGCTCCATCAGGAAGGGATTTCTGCTTGCTGTTGAAGCCTAGAACACTGCTTGCATATGCAAGGTAGCTGCTAAAGAACAGTCATTGAACAAACAGCTCAGACTATTCTCCCTACCTCCCCTCCAGCCTGATAGTCCAGTCTTCATACACTCAAAGGGATCTTCAGAGTGTAGACTGAACCACAGCTCACCACCCCCACAGCTTCTCACTGAAGCCAGAATAAAACCTAAATTCCAATCCCACTGAGGCTTGTTAGCCGCTAGGCAGGAACTTTTGGGAGCAAACACTTGTACTTGTTGTGGAAGAAGCTGTGGCCCCTTTAAAATGACTACTGAGCTGGGTGGCACCAGTTCTGCAATCCCAGAACTCAGCACTTGGAGAAGGCTAAGGTAGGAGTATCACTTAAGCTTAAGAGTTCAAGACCTGCCTGGGCAAAGATTGATACAGTCCCTTCTTCAGGATTTTTTGTTTGTTTCGGATAAGGTTCTCCAGCCTGGGACAAAAGCTCACAGCTGTGATCTCAGCTACTCAGCAGGCTGAGGCAGGAGAATCACAAATTCCAGGCCACTCTGAGCAACTGAGCAAAATCCTGTCTCCAAAAAATAATAAAATAATAATATTTTATAATAACATCAAAACATTAAATAAAAATAATAAAAAGGCTGGGGAATATAATTCAGTGAAAAAGCACCTCTGAGTTGAATCCCCAGTTCCCAAATAAAAAACAGATAAGGCCCTGAGAAAAAAAACACAGGAACTAAATCAAACCAGCCAAAATCACCCAGCTACTCTTCTAGTTGACCTAGAGTAAACTGTGCTTATTATAATTTCATTATAATGCTAGATTTTCTGACCTGGAAGCGTTCCCACTGGCAATCTTTGAACTTGCCATGTATGAAGAAGCTTGATCTCAAACTGAGCACATCAGAACTGTGCCCGCCTCTACTTGTAATGACAAGTCTTTCCAATATGAATATGCATAAGTCTCCCCAATGAAATCCCCTTGCTTCCTTTGGTGGGAGACACATTTCTTTGGGAGTTATCCCAGTGCTCTCTTTCCTTACTGCAAATAATAAACCTCTCTTCACTCTTTAATCTTGTGGTTGTGTTTATTAGCTGTGTTCTTACCAAGAAGTGCTATCCATTGTTCTATTACAGGCTCATAGTCTCTCTGGACTGGCCCACCTCTCAGACCTCATTCAGCCCCTGTTTAATTCCTTGAACACCCTGGAAGACTCCTTACTCAGATCCTACTGTGGGTGCCTTTCTTCACTTATCAATTCAAGGGGCATTTTATACTCCTCTACCAACAACTCTTCCAAGGCCTTGTTACAGGACTAGTGAATTTATTGTTCCATTGTTTACATGCTATGGAATGTGCGCTGGCTCTTGTGTACTCTCTCTAACACACACACACACACACACACACACACACACATATCACTAAGAGCAAAGATGTCTATTTGTCCTACTATTTTCCTGGCACATAGTATGTGCTCAAACAAACAATAAAACTAGCAGACCTGGCTTCTTTTGGTACTGTGAGCTTTGTTTTGGTGGGGGTAGGGGAATCAAATCCAGAGTTTCTTGAATGCTGGGCAAATCACTCTACCACTGAGCTAGACTCCCTCACCCTCCAGGTAAACTTTTTTTTTTTTTTTTTTTGTAGTTGTAGATGGACAGAATGCCTTTATCTTACCTATTTTTATGTGGTACTAAGGATCAAAACCCAGTACCTCACACATGCTAGGCAAGTGCTCTGCCACTGAGCTACGGCCCCAGCCCCAGGTAAACTTCTTGAAATCATGCTCACTGCATTGAAACCTACCACTATGATGCCTACAGCAGTACTAAGAAAGCAGAAGTTAACTTTCCTGTGATGAATGACAAGGATTTGGTTCTTTCCAACATCACAAATAGGGGTATTTTAGAGACGAGTCACTAAATCCTGGCAAAGTATCAATCATACCAATAAATTATTTTACAATACCCATTTGATTACTGGTAATAATTTTCAGAGCCCTAAATTGAGCACTGGGTATCACTGAAAGATCCTCAGAGGTTTTTAAGCAATCGGATGGATGCCCCTAAATATATATAAGTACCACATAATGAAAAGCATTATATCATTATTTGAGAACATATCTCAAAACAACAAGAATAAAAGATCTGCAGGGAGCTGGTGGTGTAGCTTAGTGGTAGCACTCACCTAGCATGTAAAAGGCCCTGGATTAGATCCCCAGCACCCCAAAAAGAAAGGGAAAAAAAAAACTTGCAGTTTTCTGAAAACAAATTTTGTCTTAGTCTCAAAAGCCCTGGGAGCATTCCTGTGTTTTCCCTTGCCTGTCTCAGAAAAAGTCATTTTGCTTAAAGTCAAAAAGCCTCAATTTCCTCATCTCTGAAAATGCCAACTTGAATGCATGCCAAACACAGTATTAGACCTCAGAAACCAAGATAACGCCACATGACCACTCCAAAGAGGACGGATTATTTGCCCCTGTAATCGGTGGGTTACAGAAACCTACAGCTTAACCCCTGCATCACTTACAGCTTTGCCTGGATTGTCCTGAAGTTGAATGTAAGCAAGGACACCCCTGCACCTGAATGCCTGACGGCCCCCGCAGTCAGATTCGATTTTAAAATACACCATTAAAACCCCATACAGAAATACTGACTACATGAAACTCCAAATTTAGAAGGTTTTACCCACTTCGTTTTTTCTAACCCTACAGAAAGGAATGAAATTAGCATCAAAGAGCTAAAAATCTACTAATTCTGCCCTGATGCACTACGAACTGGTAGGAGACGCCTATCCCAACTGGACATATATGGCTTAGATACCAGGGTTTTAATAAGCGAGATTAAGGAACAGGTTCAGGCAAGTTGAGCTACAAAGAGGGACAGGAAGGCTTGCGACCTACTAAAGGAGTCGGGCTACAGCCCAGCTAGGGCTGGGTCGGAACACTCAGGAAGCAGAACAGAGCCTTCCAGATCTGAGCCTTGGGGTTTGGAATCAGGCTCAAGACATTCTCAACGGTACAGAGCCCAAGTTCTAGGGCTGGAGATGCCAAATACAACCTGCCTGAACTGTTTTGACTAGAGTTTCGTTCAAAGTAAGGGGAAGGAGATGTTATGCAAATCCCGGTCTTTTCCTGAGTTCATCCGACAGACAGAACCCGGAGGGCTGGAGCTCAGCGCCACTAGCCGGTGTCCTACACGGGATTTGACACATCTTAGGAGACGTCGGATCCCGAGTGAAACCCTGCATACCCCGCCCCACGCGGAATCCCGGAGGCCGTGCGGGAAGATCTGGGTCGCCTCTCGGGCTTCCCCACGGTCCTTCCCGCCAGCCCGCTGCACAGGGTTTCTCGACCGCTGAGCATCTAGCTCGGCCCGAGACGCTCACCCAGGCAGCGCGGGGTCAGCCCGGGCACACCACCAGCCCCACCTACGGCCGCCGCGCTGGACGCTCACACAGACCAGCCCGAAGCTCAAAGGCTCCTGGCCGGGTCCACCGATCTGACAGCCCCTCTGGCGCCCGGCCTCGCTCACCTGGCCCGCACAGCACTGAGCAGACATCGCGGCGGCCGACGAGCACGGGGGCGCTGCCACTCAGGCCCTCCTGGCTCGCTCGCCACACGAGCGCCGCTCTCCGCACCCACTCACGCCTCCAAGCCAAGCAGCCTCAGCTGAGAGCTGGGCACCGCGGCCTGGGTAAAAACAACCGCCGCCAAACCCCGCCCCGTGGGCAGGCCCCGCCTCGGCCACACCCCGTGCCCGCCCCTTCCCGGGCGCCGGGCGGCGGAGCAGGCTCTCCCTGGGCTCGCACTTCCGCTGGCGTCAGGCGGCTGAGTGGTAGGGGTCACTGGTCCTTGGGCCGTGGGGCTCCCACCCTCCCGACCTGGTGAACCAGCCAAGCCTTTCCCGGTCCCTAGCTGGGGAGGGCGCAGCGCCTCTTCGCCTCTGCTTGGGTGGTTACTGACTCCAGTAGAGCTTGCAGCCTTTAGAGAGCCATCCCCCAGTGTTATGCACTGATCCTGCCCAGTGGAGATACTCTGTTGCGCTCTGCCTAGCACCAATGGAGACATACACGAGGTCCTTGTTCTGAAATCCCTTTACCTTCCTTATCTGCCAAGACCACTTTTCAACTTTGAGGCTGCCCTGTCCTCCCAAACTTCCTTAAATACCTAGGCTGTAATTCCCTGAGGTTCCCAGGATACTGGGCTTTCCGGTGAGAGCTCTTTCTGCGCTTCCCTGGATATTGAGACATTTCCAGCCTTTTCTTCCCCCACGGCCTGCGAAACCAAAGACTCTTTGAGACCTCGCTTCCTCTCACCGGACCTCGCTACAAGGAGGATGCCAGTAATTGCTTGTCCAGTGCAGAAGACAGAGAGAGCACTCCCAGTTTTGTTTTGTTTTATTTTGTTTTGTTTTGTCTATTCAGATCTCTTCTCACAGCCATTTAAGTCTTTGACTTTCAAATAAACATTACTGCATCCATTTGAGAAATGTAGCAACTGAAGCCCGGACAGGTTAAATAACTTGCGCAAAGCCTCACACAGTGAAAAAAGCAAATTTGGGACTAGAATCCAAATGTGTGATCCTCTGGCAAATAACAGGAGGCTTGACCTTCACTGGGCACAGCCTTTGACAAAGGAGTGTCTTGTTTGATGAGTGTAAGAGTTGGAGACTAAGAAGAAAGTTGCATGGGAATCAGTCCTCAGGTTATGAGCTGTGCTCCTCTTCCAGTATCTTGGATTCAGGCGTTTAGAGGAAGAGACATAATTGAGCAGGCCCTATTCAGAACCAGGAAAAGTAAAGAGGAGATTTGGCGCTAACTCAAAACAAAAACAAAAATAGGGTAAACCAAATCAGAGCAGCACTGCAACCTGCTGGGTGGCAGCCTGTGACTCATAAGAACTCTGGGACCTCACTGGAGTTTTACAGAGAGTTTCATTGTTTGCTTCCAGGGTCACTTCATTTCACTTCAGACTTTAGCCCCACTCCTGGCCTGGAGAAACAGGTTGGGCTCAGAGTTTCTGCCCCACTGAAAGGAGCTCAGCAGCTAAGGAGGTGGGGGTGGAGTGAAATCTATAAAGTTTGAACTCCTCCCCTTTGGGGAAAACTGGGGCTTAGGAAGACAGAGAACACACACCAGAAAACACTGGGTTAAGGGTCAAGCTAGGAATGAGGCTTCCTACCCCTGACTCCAGTGCTCATTTTGCCAAATTGGTGCCAGATTGGAAGGATTCTGTATGTATGGATATTGGCTACCTGGAAAAGAAAGGCATACCTCTTAATAACTTGGGGATTGGGTTGGGAGTATAGTTCAGAACAGTAGCAGAATATAAAATGAATTCAGTAAAGTAGCAGGATATAAAATCAACACCTATAAATCAAAGGCATTTCTGTACATTGGTGACAAATCCTCTGAAAGAGAAACCAGGAAAACTATCCCATTTATAATAACCTCAAAAAAATAAATTCCTTGGGAATCAACAAAAGAGGTGAAAGACCTGTACAATGAAAACTACAGAATGCTAAAGAAAGAAATTAAAGAAGACCTTAAAAGATGGAAAGATCTCCCTGTTCTTGGATAGACAGAATTAATATTGTCAAAATGACCATACTACCAATAGCACTATAAAGATTTAATGCAATTCCAATCAAAATCCTAATGACATTCCTTATAGGAATAGAAATTCATCTGGAAAAATAAGAGACCTAGAAGAGCTAAAGCAATCCTTAGCATGAAGAGTAAAGCAGGCGGTATCACTACACCAAATCTTGAACTATACTACAGAGCAATGGTAACAAAAAACAACATGGTATTGGCACCAAAATAGACTTATAGACCAATGGTACAGAATAGAGGACACAGAGACAAACCCACATAATTATAGTTATCTTATATTAGACAAAGGCACCAAAAACATATATTGGAGAAAAGATAGCCTCTTCAACAAAAGGTGTTAGGAAAACTGGAAATCCATATGCAACAAAATGAAATTAAACCCCTCTCTCTCACCATGCACAAAATGTAACTCAAATTAGATCAAGGACCTAGGAATTTAACCAGAGACCCTGTGCCTAATAAAAGAAAAAAATAGGCTCAAATCTCCATCATGTAGGATTAGATTTAAAAAGTTTCTTCTCAGCAAAACAAACAATCTGTGAGGTGAATAGACAGCCTACATCTTGGGAGTAAATTTTTAACCCTCACACATCAGATAGAGCACTAATCTCTAGGGTTTATGAAGAACTCAAAAAGCTAAACACCAAAAAAACAACTAACCCAATCAATAAATGGGCCAAGGAACTGAACAGACACTTCTCAGAAGATATACAATCAACCAATAAATATATGAAAAAATGTTCAACTTTTCTAGCAATTAGAGAAATGCAAATCAAAACTACTCTAAGATTTCATCTCACTCTAGTCAGAATAATAAATGTTGGTGAGGATGTGGGGCAAAAGGCACACTCATGCAATGCTGGTGGGACTTCGAATTGGTGCAACCAATCTGGAAAGCACTATGGAGATTCCTTGGAAAACTGGGAATGGAGCCACCATTTGACCCAGCTATCCCACTCCTCAGTTTATACCCAAAGAACTTAAAAACAGGATACTACAGGAGCACAGTCACTTTGATGTTTATAGCAGCACAATTTATAATAGCTAAATTGTGGAACCAACATAGATGTCCTTTGTAGATGAATGGATAAAGAAAATATACACAATGGAATATTACCCGGCATTAAAAGAGAATAAAATCATGGCATTTGCAGGTAAAAGGATGGAGTTGGAGAATATTATGCTAAGCAAAGTAAGCCAGTCCCATAAAAACAAAGGCCAAATGTTTTTTCTCTGATATAAGGATACTGATTCATAATGGGGATGGGGATGAGGATCATGGGAGGAATAGAGGAACTTTAGATAGGGCAAAGGGGAGGAAAGGAAAGGGAAGGGGTATGGGGGTAGGAAAGATGATGGAATGAAATGGACATCATTACCCTAGGTACATGTATGAGGATACATATGGTGTGACTCTATTTTGTGCACAACGAGAGACATGAAAAATTTTGCTCTGTATGTGTAATATGAATTGAAATGCATTCTACTGTCATATATAACAAATTAGAATATATACATAAATAATAAAAAAAATTTTAAATGACTGGCTGAGTGAGTTAAGCCTGTTTTCTCCTCTGCAAAACCAAGCTAATAGAACATTCTCCAAGAATTAGTAAACTCATCTCTACAGACCACGCAGTACAAAGCCTGGCCTCCTTGAAACATTGACTGAAAGGTAGCTCCAGCTGGACGCAGTGACACACACCTATAATCTCATTGATGGGTTCATAACTGGAAGGACTATTGGGAGGTGGTAGAAACTGTATAAGACGGGACCTAGTTGAAGGGAGGAGGTCCTAGGGAGTGTGCCCTTGGAAACTATATCATATTCCCCATCTCTTGTTCTCTTTCTTTTTGCTTCCCAGATGTTACATGGTGAGCATCTTTGCTACATCACATGTTCCCCATCATGATGTCTGTCTTACCAGAGGCCCAAAGCATCAAGACTAAGTGATCATGGACTAATTCTACTTTATTTTATTTATTGGTTCTAGGGATTAAACCCAGAAGTGCTTTACCAACTACATCCCTAGGCCTTTTAAATTTTTATTTTGAGAAAAGTTCTCACTAAATTGACCAGGCTGGCCTTGAACTTGTGATCCTCCTGCCTTAGCCTCCAGAATCAGCTGGGCTTATAGACATGAGCCACTGTGTCCAGCCCTTTTGGATATTTTGCTACAGCAACAAAAAAAGCTAACACAAGCTCAAACTCCCAATAGTGCCTGGTACCAACAAAGTCTCCAGAGTGTTGGCATCTGTACACAGGCCTGAGGTGAACTCTGGCCTGCTATCTGCATGTGACAGATGTTCTCTTTTGTTATTTATACAGATAAACTTGAGTCAGGATCTTTGAGTCAGGAAGGGAAAGGAAGGGAGAAAAAAAAAGAAAAATCTGTGCAGGTTCATTCCCCTGTGCCCACTCAAAGATCTCAAAGGAATGGCCAGGTCTGAAGGTTTACCCCTCCTTCCTGGCATTGAGGACTCCACGATTACTATTTTAGGTCTGTTTTAGCAGCATCTTTTACATCTGTGGTTGGTTAACAAAAGTAGAAGTGATGTTAGCAGACATAACATGAAACAGTGGCAACTTGTTTTTTATTTAAAATACTCCACAGACTTTTTCAAGAAAGACATGGTATTCCTAACATGTAGGTATTTATACAGTCAAGCTCTTTTGATGTGGATTTTTCAGGAACAAGCAGTAACAGATCTATTTTAGTAAGACTGTAGCTTTTGGCAGACCATGTGAAATATTTTCCCCACAAAAATTTTCTTAAATTAACTGAATTAGCTCCTTTTAGACACTGTAATTATATATGTATTTATATAAAACATAATTTGCTTTCTTTTCCCCCTCTTAAATTTTAAGATTTTTTTTTTTTTTTGGTAGAGGTCAATGTCAAGTTTAGAAACACCACATACACCCAAAGCAGTAGTATACATATATTGGTAAAGAAAAAAAGTAAATT